GATGACGCCTGTACTCACGCGTTTGTGTCAAGGCGAGCATTGGAGCATTGTGGACCCCCCCTCGCGCAAGACTTCAGGCTGCTCTCTGAGAAGCATGTGGCCATTCGGCCGGTGACCCAGGCTGCACGTCATGCTTACGAAAGTTCTTGACACTTCTTTGCTATGATGCGTCGTATCATGGGATGGCGGCTGCAGGATGTCATGTACTGCATTCACACGTACTCGAATGGGGACACAACATTACACTGACAAGGAGAAAAACGAGAGCCCCGCTGAACGTATATAGCAAGACTCCATGATTCATGACGTACTGAAACATTATTACGATGAGTCGTTATTGAATTGTAGCGCGACCCTCCATCGCGAAGCTCTGTCAATTCATCACAGTCATTTAGTTTTGGAGCCTTGCATGGCCAGGCCGTCAGGACGTTGGCCAAAGCTTCAGACAGTTTTTTTTGAAGGCCTCCTTTCGGGAGCCAGTCTGTTCGCACGCAGCCTCGAAGCGTTGATTACCGACCACCGCAGCCATCTGCGCATCCATTGATCCGCGACGGCGGCTCTGGTTAACCGAGAACCCACGATAATAAAGTACCCCCCCCTTAAGTCGTTTGAGTTTTTTATCGTCGGCCTCGACGGTTTTCAAATAGAGGCGGAGGGCGCGGAGGCCGAACTTCATTATCACGGGGAAAGTTCGCCATCGAGGTTACTTCCTTCTTTTGTTGAGATAACAACATCAAGCGAAGCGAACACGATGTTTCAGGATGTCTCAAGCGAAACCAATGTCCCTCTGTCTCTTTGTAGTTCTTTCTGTCTCTCTTTCTTTCTTTCTCTGTCTCTCTCTCTCTCTCTGTCTCTCTATCTCTTTCTCCTCCTCCTCCCTCTGGCGCCCTGAACTTGTTTATCTCTGGTGTTGATTATCCTGGGAAAACGATGCACGTGAGCTACCCTACACGAGCAGATGAAAATTATAATGTTCATCAAGCGTTTACATATTAAATCTAATAAGTTTCAAACTTTGGATTTTTGCTATCTCCTTCTCTTCTCCTCCTCTTGCTCTTTCTCCTCCTCCTCCCTCAAGGATGTCTCAAGCGAAACCGATGTCCTTCTGTCTCTTTGTAGTTCTTCCTGTCTCTCTTTCTTTCTTTCTCTGTCTCTCTCTCTCTCTCTGTCTCTCTATCTCTTTCTTCTCCTCCTCCCCCTGGCGCCCTGAGCTTGTTTATCGCTGGGGTTGATTATCCTGGGAAAACGAGGCACGTGAGCTACCCTACACGAGCAGATGAAAATTGTAATGTTCATCAAGCGTTTACAAATTAAATCTAATAAGTTTTGAACTTTGGATTTTTGCTATCTCCTTCTCCTCTCCTCCTCTTGCTCTTTCTCCTCCTCCTCCCTCAAGGATGTCTCAAGCGAAATAAGCAATAATTTGAAGATGTCTCAAGCGAAACAGACAAATATTTCGAGGATGTCTCAAGCGAAACAAGCAATTCGTTGAGGATGTCTCAACAGAGACAATCCTCAAGATATCTTTGGCTTTTTCCTCTTGATATTTCTTTATGCTGGCTCTGGCGGGCAACTTTTATTATCTCCCCGAAAACCCCGAACTTTACTATCCCTGGGGGTTTATGCTCGTGGGTTCTTGGTAATCCATCATCTCATCGCATCATCGTTTTCGCAGCGCGTTCAGTGGACTGCATAACGTTTACCGTTCACCTCAGTGCAGCCCGTTTGGCGCACCGTGACGCTTTAGTATAATTTCTGCCTGCGCGTCCACGGGATGCACCGCTAGCCACCGGCCCATCCCCGCATACCGCCACTGTGCCTTGGGTGGTGGACCAGAGGTCTCTTGTATACACATGCGGTTCTCTTGGGTGGCCCTCCCTCCTTCCCCCCGGCGGGGTGCTGTCCTACCCTTCCGCGCACCCGGTTGCGCAGCGATTCCACTGCACTTGCTTCACTGGTTCATTCACCCTCTGGATGTTCCCGCCCTTGCAGGGCCTCCCGTCGCGCTCCTCTGTATGGTCTGAGCGGCGGGCGCCGCTGTTGGCTCCCGCACCCCTGAGCTCTCGCCCTTTCGGTTGCCCGCTTATGGTGTCGCTGTTTGCTGTGATGCCGGTGGTCTCGCCCCGTGCGTTCTCCGCTGCTGTTCTGCTCTTTCTGCTGTCTCGGCCTTCCTCTTGCTCCTTCTGTTCTGATCTCCTCGTTTCCCTGCTTTGTGCTTGTTGCGATTCTCCGCTGCCTCATGCTTGCCGTCCGCTGTGTTCCCTGCTTTTTCTCTTTCCTCCTTTCGCGCGTGCGCTCTTGCCGTACATAGTCTCGTGTGACAGTTCTTGGCTTGTCCAGCGGAAGTCTGTCTCATGTCGTGAAGCCATTCGGTGGAGGTCTTTCCTGCAAGTACATTTATATCCCGCAGGCTGATCTATGAGGTAGTTACGGTCCCGCTTTGCACCCGTGGTTGCGGTTCCATACAAAACATCATGTGGTATCGCGAATGCCATTCCAAACAACACGTAGTTGCTGGGAAATCCATGAGTGGATGTTTGTGTAGTTGGCTTTAGTAGCGAACGACTGCGATCGCAGCTGATGTACTGATAAGGATAAGCAGTCTCATGCCACATACTCCACCCACCCTTCGTGTGATTGGGAGGGTGAGTGGGGGGATTCAGGAACCTGAATGTCGATGTGCATTTTTTGTCAATTCGTTCGCATGTGGATGGTACTCATATTTGCATTTCGATGTTTATGCTGTTCACACTTTGATGTGCGTTCCGATTTCCACTCAGTTTGCGTATCCCCTTGAGTTCAGATCGCAGCAAGATTTGCAGGTTACGTTGTACTCAGATTTCCAGTTTGCCTGTCATTCCGCACGGAAGACGCACGGGACAAGTCGAACAACCACGGGACGAGCCACGGGACCCTTACCGCAACCAGCGCGCACCTCCGGCCTGCCAGCGCGCGCACGGCACGAGCGGAGTCCGAAACCGAGCTCCTGGTTGGGGCCACTTCGCCCTCGCCCCCCAACTTCCGACAAAGCACCCCCGTCCCTCCTCCCTCCCTCCCTTCCTCCCCCGTTCACCACTCCCTCCCTTCCTCCTCCCTCCCTCTTTCCCTTCCCCCCTCCCTCCGCCCTCTTTCCTCCTCCCGTGCCCTCCTCCCTCCCTCCCTTCCTCCCTTCCCTTCCCTTCCCTCCCTCCTCCCCTCCGTTCTCCCTCCCTTCTGCCCTCCCTTGCAGGAGTGGGCAGCGCCCCTCACCGCATTGGCCCCCCCCCCTGGGCCCCCGCCGCAGGACGCAGGCACGCCCTGAGAGGGCGAGGCGGCGACGAGTGGGCGTGGGCGTTCTGGCTAGGCCGGCGGCTCCCTCCCGAGGGGGGAGAGCCGGGGGAGGGGGTGAGGAGCAGGAGGGGTGGATGGGGTAGGCCCAGAAAAACCTGGAGGTTTTTCTTCCTCTTCACTTTGCGTTTCGCTTCGCTCTCTGACTGGGTGGGGTTGGCCACTGGCCGCCCCCTCCCCACAGGGCAAAAAGGGCGTAAAGGGAGGGGGAGGAGAGGGAGAGGGGGAGGAGAATGGAGGGACGGACTCAGGAGTAGGAGTAGGATGAGGATGAGGATGAGGAGGAGGAGCAAGAAAAAGAGAAAGTACTGGATGATGAGGAGGAGGATGAGGAGGATGAGGAGGATGAGGATGAGGATGAGGATGACGAGGATGAGAAGGATCTAGGAGGGAGGAGCAAAACACAGACGAGGATTACATACGATGATGCTGCTGATGCTGATGAGACTGATGATGATGATGATGATGATGATGATGCTGATGATGATGATGATGATGATGATGATGATGATGATGATGATGATGATGATGATGATGATGATGATGATGATGATGATGATGAGGAGGAGGAGAGGAGGAGGAGGAGGAGGAGGAGGAGCGGAGGAGGAGGAGGAGGAGGAGGGGGAGGAGGAGGAGGAGGAGGAGGGCGAGGGCGAGGAGGAGGAGGAGGGAGGAGGGAGGAGGAGGAGGAGGAGGAGAGGAGGAGGAGGAGGAGGAGGAGGAGGAGGAGCAGAGAAGGACGAAGCGCACGGCCCACAGCGAGCGGCAGGCAGACAACACGGGCTGTCAACAGGTACCGCGACATAGCTGAGGAGGGGGAGAGGGGAAGGGGGGGGGGGAAGGAGGAGAGGAAGGAGGAAGGAGGAAGGGCGACGGAGGAGCAAGGAGGCAGGAGGAGGGACAGGATAAGAGGGCGGAGGAGGAGGGCGAGGGGCAAGAGGAGGAGGAGGAGGAGGAGGAGGAGGAGGAGGAGGAGGAGGAGGAGGAGGACGAGGAGAAAGAGGGAGGGAGGAGAGGAGGGGAAGAAACGTTGATGAGAGTCGAAAGGGTGTTGGTCCTGGAGGTATGGAGGCTGCAGGTCCTGCTCCCCCTCCGACACATCTCCTGATCCTGATCCTCATCTTCCTGTTCAGTTCCATCCATTCACTCATTCATCCATTCATCCATTCATCCATTCATTGAAGCCTCATGTCAGCTAGAGATCCGGCAGCTATCAGCTAATGGATCTGCCGTCGTTGACAGACGGTATCGCGCACACGCGTCGCATCAGCGCGGACGGTGTCTGGGCCCCGGAGCGGAGCCGCTCGGACTTCGACGCGCCAAAGGGCCATCCCCGTGGACGGGGCCGGCCCGCTCGGACCCGCGCGCCTGCCCTGCCCGCGAAGACGGAACAGCCCCCTGGGCAGACCTCTGTTCTTTCCACGTATGACCTCTCGTCCTCTTCGCGTTGCTCTCAGCGGGCGAAGAACGGTGTACAATAAACTTTTTCGCTGTCGGGGGCGCCTGTCCCTGGGCGGCTGGAAAGTTTATACCCCTACGGTGCCACCGTAAGGGTATAAACTTTCCAGCCGCCCTGGGACAGGCGCCCCCGACAGCGAAAAAGTTTATGTTATACCGTTCTTCGCCCGTTAATGCTCCTCTTCCCCTGTCATGTTTAATGCTTCTTTGTCCTCCCCCCTGATCTCACGTGGTGGCGCAACCAGATGGGCATACGGTCGAAAAACGCCGGGGCACCAGGGCAAACCCATCCAAACAGTATCGGAAACCTGATACATACTCGGAAGACGATCAGACCGTAACAAAGCCATAATCGGATCGGCGTTGGTACACCGTCGCAAATCAATCGGGATGCTATTGAAATCCAGTCGGACAATGGCAAGCCGAGAAGGAAACCAGCGTGGATCTGTTGGAAAACCGCCGGGGCACGGTCAAGGCACTGTCAAAACACGATCATCACACCATAACGATGGGAAGCGACCAGGACACCGTGACAGGAGGAGGAGGAGGAGGTTGAGGAGGAGGAGGAGGAGGAGGAGGAGCAGGGAGAGTGAGGAGGAGGAGGAGGAGGAGGAGGAGGAGGAGGAGGAGGAGGAGGAGGAGGAGGCAGCATCGCCAACACGTCAGAGCGTGCCGAGATATACTGAGGTAAACTTGATACGGTTGGAACAGAGCGAGTGCACACAACTTGACGACTCAAGAGAAGAACAGGTTGAACGCCGAGCGAATTACCGAATACGCAGCCAAAAGCAGGCGTCGTCAGAGGAAAGGAGATGGCGAGGCTCGCCCTCCGACCCCCCAAAGATGCGATCATTACCCACCTCGAGGGACCGAGTCTATGTAGTGTCCTCACTGGATGCAAGTCCCTCCTTCCTTCCTCCATGGGATGGGACGAGGCTCCTCGTGGAGTCTGGAGGAGGCGTGCGGGGGGAATCAGGAGGATAATGAGGAGTGGGAGGAGGAATCTCGAGAAGGAGGAGGAGGAGGAGGAGGAGGAGGAGGAGGGGAGGAGGAGGAGGAGGAGTAGGAGGAGGAGGAGGAGGAGGAGGAGAGGAGAGGAGGAGGAGGAGGAGGAGGAGGAGGAGGAGGAGGAGGAGGAGGAGGAGGAGGAGGAGGAGGAGGAGGAGGAGGAGGAGGAGGAGGAGGAGGAGGAGGGAGGAGGAGGAGGAGGAGGAGGAGGAGGAGGAGAGGAGGAGGAGGAGGAGGAGGAGGAGGAGGAGGAGGAGGAGGAGGAGGGAGGAGGAGGAGGAGGAGGAGGAGGAGGAGGAGGAGGAGGAGGAGGAGGAGGAGGAGGAGTGAGGAGGAGGAGGAGGAGGAGGAGGAGGAGGAGGAGGAGGAGGAGGAGGAGGAGGAGGAGGAGGAGGAGGAGGAGGAGGCGGAGGAGGGGGGGGAGGGGGAGGAGGGGGAGGATGGGGAGGAGGAGGGGGGAGGAGGAGGAGGACGTGGAGGAGGAGGAGGAGGAGAAGGTCTCGAGGAGGAGGAAGAGGATACTGAGGAGCCTGGAGGAAGAGGAGGAGCCCGGAGGGGGGCCGCTGGGCAGGTCTGTCCTCGCTGATGGACCAGTGGGTGAGCGACCGCTGGGAGGTTTACCAGGGCATGCCCAGGGCCATGGCCTCAGAGGGGGCCCCTTCGTCCGACGAGCGCGGCCCAAGGTGCCTCCTGCTGATCCCGGCGCCTCGGAGCGAGGGAGAGAGGATGATGATGAGGATGAGGATGATGATGAGGATGAGGATGAGGATGAGGATGAGGATGAGGATGAGGATGAGGATGATGCTGATGATGATGATGATCATGATGAGGATGAGGATGAGGACGAGGATGAGGATGATGATGATGCTGATACTGATACTGATACTGATGCTGATGTTGATGCTGATGCTGATGCTGATGATGATGATGCTGATGATGATGATGATGATGATGATGCTGATGATCATGATGATCATGATCATGATCATGATCATGATCATGGTTGTGATGCTGATAATGATACTGGTGATGATGACCATGCTGATGATGCTGAGGATTGTGATGATGATGCTGATGCTGATGCTGATGCTGATGCTGATGCTGGTGGTGGTGGTGATGATGCTGATGATGATGATGATGATGATGATGATGATGATGATGATGATGATGATGATGATGATGATGATGATGATGATGATGGTGATGAGGAGGAGGAAGAGGCGGAGGAGGAGGTGGAGGACCAGAGTAAGCCAAACATGATGAGGAGGAGGAGGAGGACCAGAGTAGGCCAAATATGCGCAAGCGATGCTGCCATACACCTTCCTGTCCCGGGCCCCCTCCTCACGCGCCCCCGCAGGTCCCCCCTGGTCACTGCCAGAAGCGCCCCCATTCAGGGCCAGCGCCCATTGGGCCTGCCATGGTGGCGATCCGGGGTGGACAGAACCCCCAACAGTGACACGTCGATTAGTGAATTGTCCGTCTTCGGTTTTCGAGAGGGCGCCGTGGCCGTTATTTTTTCAGGCCTGCGCCCGCCAGGTGTGGGCCTCGGGTCGTTCTCACGAAACCACGTTTTGCGAAAGGGGGGTCTGTCCACCCCCGAGGCGAAGCTTCGACTTTGCAGAGGAGCTGCCTCGCATCTTCCTGGCGCGTAGCCAGGAACGTAGGACAGCAACAGCTGCCGCAGACTTCAGCGAGCTGTCCAGCGAGGTCCCCCTTTCGAAGAAGCTCAGGAGGGAAAGAAACACACAGACACAATTAATCGTCGCTTCCCCAGAAAATAGGGGAAACAACATTGGAAGTGGGGGGGAAACCGAAACCCAGAACATATGGGAAAAGATGGGGGATCCTGTCATTTGTGTGGGATTTTTTTGTGTGTCCCAGGGCCCCCCTTCTCGAAGCAGCGCCGCCTCCCCGAGCGTGCGGCTTCCCTCTGAAGATGGGGCCGCCGCGGATGCGTGCAGCGCTGCGTGCGCAGAAGCTGTTTCGGGCTCTCGACACAAGGAAAGCTCTGGCGAGGGCTCGACTTTGAAAAAGGGCCGTCCTCCATCCGTTCCGGGTTCCCAACACAAAGGAAGCTCTGGCGAGGGCTCGACTCTGAAAAAGGGCCGTCCTCCATCCTGCTGAACGTTGCGCCCAAAAGCAACAGCTGCCACAGACTTCAGCGAGTTGTCCAGCGAGGTCCCCCTTTCGAAGAAGCGCCGCCTCCCCGAGCGACGGCTCCCCTTTGAAGCAGGGCCGCCGCGGATGCGTGCAGCGCTGCGTGCGCAGAAGCTGTTTCGGGCTCTCGACACACAGAAAGCTCTGGCGAGGGCTCCTTCTCTGAAAAAGGGCCGTCCTCCATCCTGCTGAACGTTGCGCCCAAAAACAAACGGGGCCGTCCTCCATCCTGCTGAACGTTGCGCCGAAAAACAAACGCGCGCGCGCCCTACTTTGAAAAAGGAACGGCGCTCCATCGGTGAAGCTCGTTCAAACTTCGAGAAGCGAAGGTGCGCGGCACTATGCCGAGAGCCACGTTTTGACACCGGCCCATCCTCCATCCATGAAGTCGACGCAAACCGTCAAACGACGAATGTGCGCAGCGCTCAGGCGAGAGCCACATTTTGAAAAGGAGCGCCGCTCCATCCGTGAGGGGGCCCCAAACTTTTAAGACGAATCTACTCGCCGTTCAGGCGAGAACAACATGTTGAAATGATCGCTATCCATCCGCGAATTCGATGTCAACTGCAGACAAGTGTGCACAACGCTAAGGCGAGAGCCACATTTTGAAAGGAGCCCCCCTCTATCCGTGAACCTGGTGCAAGGCTTCAATACGAGAGTGTGCGGCGCTTCTGGCGAGAGCAACATTTTGAACACGTCTCCCTCAATCAGTGAACTTGTTGCAAATTTTAGACCGAGAGAGCGCAACGCCAAGGCGAGAGCCACAGTTTGAAAACCGCCCCCCTTCTTCCGTGAAGCTGTTGCAAATTTTAGAGACGAGAGTGTGCGGCGCTTCTGGCGAGAGCCAGACAGCCACATTTTGAACACGACCTGTGCTCCATCCGTGAGGCTGTCTCAATCTTTTGAAGCGACTGTGCGCGGCGCCAAAGGCGAGAGCCACATCTTTTGGAGCGAATGTGCGCGGCGCCAAAGGCGAGAGCCAAAGGCGATCCCCTCCATCCGTGGAACTGCTGCAAGCTTCGAGCTTCAGGATCATTAATTGTGAGGAAGTCCCTGGCGGCCCGCCCGCCCGGCCCTACCGACACGCCTCGATGTGCGACAGGGGGGAGTGGTTCACAAGAAAAGGGGATGGGAGAGGATGCGAAGAGACGAGGGGAAGGAGGAGGAGGAGGAGGAGGAGGAGGAGGAGGAGGAGGAGGAGGAGAAGGAGGAGGAGGAGGGGAAGGTTCGAAGGTCAGTAGCTGATCTGGCCGAAGGAGCCTGCCGCGGGCCCCGCCGATTGCTTTTTTTTCCTGCGCGTTGCCGAGCCTTCTGCCGGGCTGGTTCGTGAGCGCGCTTTCTGGAAGGAGCGTCGCTGCATCGGTGGCGTGGCAGGTAGGGCTCGGTCGGTCAGGAGTGATCATAGATGCCCTGTCGCCCCCGCCGAGACGCAAAATCATGGCAGGGCCCCGTCTCAGCCAAAATGACATATGACGCGCCTGGCTCCGAATTGTCCGCAACTGGGAGCTTCCTCTCTTCGCAGAACAGTCTCCTGGAATGGATCCAGGCCCAGGCGATGGCTGTCGTCCCGCAGCATGTGTGCACCACAAGACTGGAATAGCAGTGGGAATCGATGAGGGCGATCGCCAGGCGATGGTGGTGATGATGATGATGATGATGATGATGATGATGATGATGATTATGATGATGATGATGATGTTGATGATGATGATAACGAGGCTGAGGATGAGGAGGAGGATGAGGACGATGATGAGGATGATGATGAGGATGAGGACGAGGATGAGGATGATGATTATGATGAGGATGAGGATGCGGATGATTGGAATGAGGTTGAGGATGAGGATGAGGTTGAGAATGATGATGAGGATGTGGCTGCTGATGAAGATGATGATGCTGATGATGATGATGATGATGATGGTGATGCGGATGATGCTGATGATGATGATGATGCTGATGATGATGATGCTGATGATGATGGTGATGATGATGACAGTGGTGGACAGGCAGTGGTGGTAGTGGTGGTAGTGCTGCTGCTGCTGACGAATATGATGGCGATCACGTTGGCGATGGTGATGCTGATGATGACGATGCTGATGCTGTTGTTGATGATGATGATGATGATGATGATGGAGATGATGATGATGATGATGATGATGATGATGATGATGATGATGATGATGATGATGCTGATGACGATGATGATGATGACGACGACGATGATGATGATGATGATGGTGCTGCTGGTGCTGCTGATGATCATGATGGTGGTAGTGCTGTTAATCCTGCCGAGGATGGCGATGCTGCTGCTGATGATGGGGACGATGATGTTGATGATGATGATGCTGCTGATGCTAGTGGTGATGTTGACTATGCTGATGATGGTGGTGGTGATGATGCTGATGACGATGATAGTGGTGGTAATTATGATGATGATGATGATGATGATGATGATGATGATGATGATGATGATGATGATGATGATGATGATGACGCTGATACTGGTGATAATGAGGGTGATCATGATGATGGCGAAGAGGGTGATGTTGCTGATGATGATGCTGATGATGATGCTGATGATGCTGCTGCTGACGATGATTATGATGCTGCTAATGATGATGGTCATGCTGATGATGTTGATGATGGTGATGGTGAGCGATGATGATGATAGTGGTGCTGATAATGTGTAGGCTCATGATAATGGTGATTGTGATTATGGTGATGATGATGGTGCTGATGATGATGATCATGCTGCTGCTGATGATGATGATTATGCTGCTGCTGCTGCTGATGATGATGATGATGATGATGATGCTGATGCTGATGCTGATGATGATGATGCTGCTGATGATGAGGATGATGATGATGATGATGATGATGATGATGATGATGATGATGATGATGATGGTGATGATGCTGATTATCATTATGATGATGTTGATGATGATGTTGATGGGCTTGCGGTGGTGATGGAGGTTGAGATGTGGATGTGGACGAGGATGAGGATGCGGAGCAGCGCGAGCAGGCGGAGGAGCAGGATGCGGATCAGCATTGCCAGGAGATGCGGGAAAGGCACGGGGAGCTGGCATCTACCGCCAACGGGGGTCGACCACGTCATGGCGGAGGCGCACGTCCTGCCGCCCCTGTCGCTGCGCCTGCGGCAGCCCCCGACCCCGCCCGCGGCCGCGAGCGCTACCTGCCTCCGCTGCTGGGAAGATGGCGCGCGCTACGGGGTCGACTCGGCCGCCAATGGGGAATACTGCCTGGGCTGCCATGTCGGGGGCGGAACGATCCAGCGCCATGACGGCGTCAAGGACTGGATCGCGCGACGGCTGCGCGCCTATGGCGCCTCGTCCGTGGCCACGCAGCAGCACGTCATGCCCTGGGACAGACAGCGCCGGGACGGCACCGTCGACGCAGCCCGCTGTGTCGTGACCAAGCCTGCGGTCGGCGTGGCTTGCGTCGACGTGGCGGTTACGGACGCTGCCTTCGGCGCGGCCACGGTGGCGTGCCGACGCCGCGTCGTCCAGAACGGCGTTGCCGCGGCGGCCCGGGAGGCACACGGCCTTCGCGCTGGAGGCCTTGGGGAGGGCCGGGCAGAAGGCGCAGGCGCCTCTCCACGCCTTTGCGCGCAGGGGCGCCGCGGTGCAGGCGGCGGCTTCGCGACGACCCTGCAGCGCGGCAGCGCAGAGGCTTTCGCGCGGCCTGCTTTCCAGCGGGCCGCCGCGGAGCTGCTGCTGAGGGGGTCCTCTGGGCCCGCGCGCGATGGGAGCCGACGGCGCGCTGGCTGGCGGCGAGGGGCTGCGTGCTTGTGCGTGCAGGACGGGTGCCGGTGGGCCTGGCAGGGCTGGCGCGCGGGCCTCGGGCGAGGCGGCGGTGGCGCAGCTGGCAATGGCTCGATGCGGCCTCGCTCGAATACGTGCTCCCCTGTATCGCTGACCATGGGCTCACCGCCCAACCCCTCCGAGGACGGCCGCCACAGGGGAGCGCTGCCTGGATTGCTCGCCCATGGCGCCTCGGGTGTGGCCATAGAGCAGTACGTTTTGGCCTGGGACAAAAGGCCACTCCTCCTTCTCCTCCTCGCCCCCCTTTCCATTATTCCCAACCATCCTGTGGTGTTGGGTCCTCGTTCTGAAGAGACAGCGCCCCATGTTCCTTCCTTCCTTCCTTCCTTCCCGCTGCCCCCTCCCTCCTCGCCCCCCTCCCTCCTCCTACCCTTGCTGCTGCTTTCCGCATGCCCATCCCATTTTGGCACACCCCTCACACGGTTCGTGGCCCCATGGGGAGTTCCACCGACGGCCCCAGTGGCAGGGTCCGCATGCGGGGACCGCCACCCATGTTGGTTCACCCCTCACACGGTTCGTGGCCCCGCAAGGAGCTCCACCGAAGGCCCCAACGGCAGGGTCCTCATGCGGGGGCCGCCACCCATTTCGGCACACCCCTCACACAGTTCGTGGCCCCATGGGGAGCTCCACCGAAGGCTCCAGTGGGAGGGTCCGCGTGGGGGGGCCGCCACCCATTTTGGCACACCCTTCACACGGTTCGTGGCCCCGCAGGGAGTTCCCACCGACGGCCCCAGTGGCAGGGTCCGCATGCGGGGACCGCCGCCCATTTTGGCATACCCCTCACACGGTTCGTGGCCCAACAGGGAGCTCCACCGACGGCCCCAGTGGCAGGGTCCGCATGCATCAGCGCGACCCATTTTGGCGCACCCCTCACACGGTTCGTGGCCCCACAAGGAGCTCCACCGAAGGCTCCAGTGGCAGGGTCCACATGGGGGGGCCGCCACCCATTTTGGCACACCCTTCACACGGTTCGTGGCCCAACAGGGAGCTCCACCGGCGGCCCCAGTGGCAGGGTCCGCATGCGGGGACCGCCACCCATTTAGGCACACTCCTCACACGGTTCGTGGCCCCCAGGGAGCTCCACCGAAGGCCCCAGTGGCAGGGTCCGCATGCGGGGGCCGCCACCCATTTTGGTTCACCTCTCACACGGTTCGTAGCCCCACAGGGAGCTCCACCGAAGGCTCCAGTGGCAGGGTCCGCATGCATCAGCGCCACCCATTTTGGCGCACCCCTCACACGGTTCGTGGCCCCACAGGGAGCTCCACCGAGAAGGCCCAAGCGGCACAGGCCGCATTCGGGGACCGCCGCCTATTTTAGCACACCACTCACATGGTTTGTGGCCCCATATGGAGCTCCACCGAAAGCGGTACCCACAACGCGGTATTCACAATTGTGCATGGTTGGGTCTTTCGCCAGGATCATTTTCCTCCATCCTCTCCTCCTCCGCCTCCGCTCCTCCTCCTCCTCCTTCTCCTCCTCCTCCTCCTCCCTTTCCCCCTCCCTCCTCTTCTTCCCTCCGATGCTCGTCGCTGGGGCCCCCCAAGAGGCCCTCAAGAGGCCCAAGAGTGCCAGAATGGGCGCGCAATTCACTCGGATCCTTGATCGACGCCGTCTGCGACGTCGACGTCGACGAAGACGATCACAATGGCGGCGACGCCTTGCCTCCGAGGCTAGGGAGCTGCGGTCCGCCAGGCAGTTCGTCGCTTCGGTGGTTGCCGACTGCGCGTCAGCAACCAAGAAGGCGCTTCTTTCGTCGTCGTCGTCGGCGTCGGTCTCGGCGTCGGCATCGGCGTCGGCGTCGGCGTCGGCGTCGGCGTCAGCGTCGGCGGCGGCGGCGGCGGCGGCGGCGTCGTCGTCGTCGTCGTCGTCGTCGTCGTCGTCGGCGTCGGCGTCGATTTCGGCGTCGGCGTCGGCGTCGGCGTCGGCGTCAGCGTCGGCGGCGGCGGCGGCGGCGGCGGCGGCGCCGTCGTCGTCGTCGTCGTCGTCGTCGTCGTCGTCGTCGTCGTCGTCTTCGTCGTCGTCGTCGTCGCACGTTTTGCTCCTGCCGTTCTCTCCCGTTTTCGCCTCGTTTCGGCATCGGTCCACCCCCGAGGAGAACGACGATGAGAAGGAAGTGGGACCTGATTAGTATGATAATGGCGATGCTGCTGATGATGATGGTGATGATGATGATGCTGATGATGATGATGATGATGATGATGATCATCACGATGATGATGACTCTGATTATGATGATGTTGATGATGATGTCAGTGACGATACTGATGCTGATGCTGATGCTGATGCTAATGCTGATGCTGGTGCTGCTGATGCTGATGTTGATAATGATGATGATGCTGATGCTGATGCTGATGATGATGATGATGATGATGATGATGATGATGATGATGATGTTGACGCTGATGCTGATGCTGATGATGATGCTGATGCTGGCGAATCTGAGGATGATGATGGTGATAGTGGTGGTCGTGGTGGCATCATGTCGACGCTGATGATGCTGCTGCTGATGATGATGATGATGATGATGATGATGATGATGGGTGATGGTGGTGGTGGTGGTAGTGATGATGATGATGATGATGATGATGATGATGATGATGATGCTGATGCTGCTGGTGATGATGATGATGCTGATGCTGATGGTGCTGATGCTGATGGTGCTGATGCTGATGCTGATGCTGATGCTGATGCGGCTGCTGATGATGACGATGACGATGGTGATGTTGATGACGATGATGATGATGATGATGCTGATGATGATGATGATGATGATGATGATGATGATGATGATGATGATGATGATGATGATGATAATGATGCGGATGATGCTGCTGATGAAAGGAGATGGAGAAGGAGGATGAGGAGGATGAGGAGCGCGATGACGATTCTGATTATGCTAATGATGCTGATGATGATTTTGATGCTAATAATGGTGATGACGATCATGATGATGCTGCTGATGATGGTACTTATGATGATACTGACGATGTTGATGATGCTGATGATGCTGATGATGATGATGATGATGATGATGATGATGCTGATGAGGAGGGGGAGGATGAGAAGGAGGAGAAGGAGGGGGAGGAGGATGACCACGGCTTCCACAATAACGACGAGGAGGGTACCCCTTCCCTTTCTGCGGGATCTGCCCACGCCGCCCCCCCTTCCTCCCCTCCCCCCCCTCTCGCCCGCTCCCGCCGCCCACTGCTGCTGTCCCTCCTCGTCGCGTGTATCGTTCTCAGTCTTCTTCTTAACTGCTGATGCTGCCTCAAAAGCGGCGGCCAGCCCCTGCAGAGCGTGCCCACGCCCCAGCTCTGCGCGCACTGCTGGACCTGGGGCTTCGAGGGCGAGGAGTGGTGCGAGTCGCTTCCTTAGGGGAGGATCGGGGCAAGGAGGCGGCAACGGAGGAGGAGAGTAGGAGGACGACGAGGAGGAGGACGAGGAGGAGGAGGAGGAGGAGGAGGACGAGGCGGAGGAGGACGAGGAGGAGAAGGAGGACGAGGAGGAGGAGGAGGACGAGGAGGAGGAGGAGGAGGAGGACGAGGAGGAGGAGGAGGAGGACGAGGAGGCCGAGGCGGGGAAGGGGCCGCGTAGCGAGCTAGCGAGCGATGATAATGTGGAAGCAAAGGGGGGGGAGGGATCAGCACCAGAGAGGGGGTGGGAATGGGGATGCAGGGTGGGGAGAACCTCGGATGAGCAGGACGGTGAAGGATACGGATGATGTTGAGGAGGAGTGGTGGTGCTGGTCATGGTGATGCTGATCATGTGGATGGTGATGATGATGACGATGTTGATGATGGTGATGATGGTGATGATGATGAGGATGCTGATGCTGATGCTGTTGATGGCAATGCTGGTGGTGGTGGTGACGGTCGTGATGGTGCTGATGAGGGTGACGGCGACGAGGTTGTTGTTGCTGATGAGGATGAGGTTGCTGATGACGTTGGTGGTGTTGCTGCAGATGATGCTGGTGGTGTTGATGCTGCGGCTGCTGGTGATGAGGCTGATGCTGATGTGGATGATGGTGCTGCTGATGCTGACAATGCTAATGATGCTGATGATCCGGATGATGCTGATGATGCTGATACTGACGATGATGCAGCTACTGGTGATGATGATGCTGATGATGATGCTGATGCTTATGATTACGACGATGCGGATGATGATGCTGCTGCTGATGATGTTGATGATGCTGATGATGCAACTGCTGATGATGCAGATGCTGATGCTGATGCTGATGCTGTTGATGCTGATGATGCTGATGATGGTGCTGCTGCTGCTGATGATGATGATGGTGATGCTGATGCTGATGATGACGACGATGATGCTGACGCTGATGATGCTGCTGCTGATGATGATGATGATCCTCCTGCTGATGATGCTGATGATGCTGCTGCTGCTGATGATGATGATGATGATGATGGTGATGATGTGGAGGAGCAGGAAGCGGAGGAGGAGGATGAAGAGGAGGAGCAGGAGGCTGAGGAGGCTGGGGATGAGGATGATGCTGATGCTGATGATGATGCTGATGATGATGATGCTGATGAGGAGAGAGATGAGGAGGAAGAGGAGGAGGAGGAGGCGGAGGAGGAGGAGGAGGAGGAGGAGGAGGAGGAGGAGGAGGGGGAGGAGGAGGAGGAGGAGGAGGAGGAGGAGGAGGAGGAGGAGCCCCATGAAGGTGTAGGACACAAGGGCAGGGCAATGATACGCTGCAGCAGGGGGACTTTCGATTGCACTTCGGAAGGAAACGCGTCCAGCAGCCGAGTCAGAGATCAGCAAGGGACGCGCCCAAACGCAGCTCTAAACTTTCAGCAGCTTTCTGCGCATGCGGCTGTTCGCTTCCTGTTGGGAGGTGGGGTGGAGCAAGGGGGAACAGACAGAACGAGGAGAGCTTATGGCAGGACGGTTGGGACTGCCAGGGGGACTGGTGATGATGCTGTTGATCATGACGATGACGATGACGACGACGATGACGACGATGATGATGATGCTGATGATGGCGACGATTATGATGAAGATGCTGATGATGATGACGATGACGGTGATGGTGATGATGATGCTAATGATGCTGATGGTAATGATACTGATGCTGATGCCGCTGATGATGATGAGGAGGAGGAGGATGGTGATGATGATGATGATGATGGTGATGGTGCTGATGATGATGCGGCTGTTGATGATCATGAGCTTCATGCTGGTGATGACGACTATGATGATGGTGGTGATGCGGCTGAGGATGATGAGTATGCGCATGCTGATGCGGATGATGATGGAGGGATGGTGATGATGCTGGTGGTGGTTATGATGATGATTATGTTTCGGATGATGATGATGATGATGATGATGATGATGATGATGACGATGGCGGTGATGTTGATGACGATGATGATGATCCTGATGATGATGATAATGATGATGATGATGATGATGATGATTATGGTGTTGATGGTGATGTTGTTGATGATGCTGATGATGTTGATGTTGATGATGACGATGATGATGATGCTGATGATGCTGATGATGCTGATGATGATGATGATGATGGTTATGATGGTAATGATGTTCATGCTGATGACGATGACGGTGCTGATGATGTCGATGCTGATGGTCACGATGATGCTGATGATGACGGTGAGGGTGGGGCTGCAGATGCCGACGACTATCCCGATTCGGATGATGAGGATGGAGATGAAGATGATGCTGCTGATTCTGATGACGATGACGATGATGATAATGATGCTGCTGAGGATGATGGTGACGATGCTGATGATGCTGCTGATGATGATGCTGATGGCGATGCTGGTGATGATGATGATGATGATGCTGATGAGGATGATGATGATGATGATGATGATGATGATGATGATGATGATGATGATGTTGATGCTGATGATCATGATGCCGACGATGGTGGTGATTTCGATGATGGTAACGATCATGACGACGGTCATGGTAATGTTGATGATGAGCACGCGCATGATGATGCTGATGATGCTGATGATGATGATGATGATGATGATGATGATAGTGATGACGATGGTGATGCTGATGCTTTTGCTGCTTATGATGCTGACGCTGATGATGATGCTGATGATGGTGGTGGTGATGATGATGATTATGATGCTGATGCTGCTGGTGATGATAATGCTGCTGCTGCTGCTGATGATGATGATGATGATGATGATGATGATGATGATGATGGTGATGGTGGTGAAGGTGAGGATGAACATGTGGATGATGCTGATGGAGATGACTAAGGTCATGCTGATGATGATCCTGCTGATGAGGATGATGATGATGATGCTGCTGATGATGCTGCTGATGATGTTGATGTGCTGCTGATGATTATGATGATGCCGATGCTGATGATGGTGGTGGTGATGATGAGGAGAAGACGGAGGATGAGGAGGATGTGGAGGAGGAGGAGGAGGAGGAGGAGGAGGAGGAGGAGGAGATGGCAGGAATATGGAGGGTGGAGTGGCTGGTTACGGGCACCGCTCGCAGCAGGCAGAAGGCATACCAGGAAGAATGAAGAGGGGCAGAGAGGAGGGGGAGGAGCGGTACGAAGAGCGATGCAGATTTTTAGGACATGATCGGATTCCGGGGGGCGCGGGGTTCCTGCGAGTCCGCTCTTGGGCATCTCTTCGGCCCCGCCTCTTGAAGGCTTTTCTGGCAGTCTTGGGGGCCTCTTGGGCCGTCTAGGCGCCCTCTTGGGCTGTCCCCAGTGCCTCCTGGGGGCTCCTCCTCCTCCTCCTCCTCCTCCTCCTCCTCCTCCTCCTCCTCCTCCCGTGATGGGCCAGTCTGTGGGGGGGCGCTGCGCGGACCGCCTAGTGCTTGCAAAACCCACGGGCGATCAGTTGCCTTTGTCTCTGGAGGTTCTCTTGAGGAGGAGGAGAAGGAGGAGGAGGAGGAGGAGGAGGAGGAGGAGGAGGAGGGCCCTCTTGAGGCGTCGCGTTGCCGTGTGGAGGCCATCGTGTGTGTTCCTGAGGTTGTTCGGGCCTGCTCTCACAGGCGGAAGGCGGAAGGCGGCCCCCTCTTAACATCCGGGATTCGAGCGAGGGGCTTTCCCCTGTCGCGACGCAGTGGCCATCCTACGCAACACGTGGAGGGGCGGAGCGCGCTACCTTTCTCAAATCGTGTGCCCGCCTGGCATTTCTTTACAGCTCAGGGCCCCCTTAAATGTAGCATTGTCAACCGTTGCATGGATGGAGGTCGACATCGAGCTCTCGCTGGGGATGTCCCCGCAGTTTGTAGCAGTTTGGGCTTGAACGTTCCATCAAACCGCACGGATCGAAGGGGGGACCTTTTTGCAAAAATTGTGTACTCGCTCCGGTGCCGCGCGCGGGAGCCTCTCACCAGCAGCATCGATGCTAGGCGATTCGTACTCGAACCCCTCGAGCCGTGGGCGGATCTTGGTATGTTCGCTGAAGCGTATTCCAAAATATTACGTGGGTTCTCACCATCCAGGTAGGAGGAGGAGGAGGAGGAGGAGGAGGAGGAGGAGGAGGAGGAGGAGGGGCCCTCATCTTTCCAGACTCTCACCTTTCCAGCCGGAGCTCGACGCAGGGTGACGAAGTGGACGTGCTGGCCGACGGTGGGTGGAACCCGGTACGGGAGGGTGTGCTGCCGCATCAGTGGCGCGTGCGAAGTTTATTGTGGTCCTCGTCCTCCTGCTGTGGACTCTCCTTCCTGCTCCTCCCTTTCTTTCTCTCTTATGTTCTTTCTCCGCCTCTCTCGTTATCCTCCTTTCCCCCCTCCTCCCCCTTCTCCCCTGTACCTCCCCCTCCTCCTCCTACTCCTCCTCCTCCTCATCCTCCTCGTCCTCCCCCTCCTCTCTCCTTCTCCCCTTCTCCTTCCATCCTTTTGCTCCTTCTTTCCCGTATCCTCCTCTCGTCTCATCCTTTTTTTTTGTTCTCTCTCTCTCTCTCTTTCTCTTCTTTTTCTCCTCGCCCTCCATTTATTCCCTAGAGAAGGCTCTTCCCCGTCGCACCGCCCATCTTGAAGCTTGACATTTTCAGCAGCTACAAGGATGCAGGGCGCACCCTTTTCAAAACGGGGCTCTCGCCGTATCACCGCGCACGTTCGCCCTGACACCTTCCAGCAATTACGCAGACGGAAGGCGGTTCCTTCTCAGAATGTGGCCCTCGTTGGAGCGCCGCGGACATTCGCTCCAACATTTGCAGTAGTTGCACGGATAGAAGACGTGTTCTTTTCAACATGCTCTCGCTTGATGCGTCCTCGTACCCAGCGACTAGAGGTTTGAGCACATGTAACAGCCACACGGATCGAGGACGGCTCCTTTTCACAATGGGGCCATAGCTAGAAGCTTCTTCAAGCTTACGACCGAGCGCACAAGCTTAAGGAGCTGTCACACGGTTAGGAGCGGTTTCTGTTAAAGACGGGGACCACGTTCGACACGTCGTAGATGTTTGTGAACATACCTCATCGCGTTCTTTTCATCTTGCTAGAAGGATGTAATTCAGCTTCTTCTCAAACCAGGGCTCCAGCCCGAATGGCAAGACCATGGGGGTGTTCGTCTTTCGAAGGGGGCGCTTCTTGAATTGAAGGCTTTGAGAGGGACTTGCGACGGGAAGGTGTGTTGAAGCATTGTTGATGCATCCTGGGTTTACTCAGGCCTCTTTCCTTCTCTTCCGACGACGGCGACGGCGACGACGATCACAACGACGGCCACGACGCTACCCCTCCCCCTCCTCCTGCTCCTCCTCCTCCTCCTTCTTCTCCTCCTCTTCTTCCTCCTCCTACTCCAGTGTCCTGGCTGTCTCGAACGACGGCGACCCTTCCAGTCTTCCAACACGGCGAAGGCAGGCACTTTCTTTTTCTTGCATCACGTGTGTACGTGAGCGAGGGCTCGCAACGCAGCGATCGGCGCCCCAGCATTTTACCATATAATATCTCCTCCTCCTCCTCCTCCTCCTCCTCCTCCTCCTCCTCCTCCTCCTCCTCCTCCTCCTCCTCCTCCTCCTCCTCTGCTCCCCCTTCCCGCCACCCCAGGTCCTCCTCCTCCTCCTCTTGCTCCTCATGCTCACCCCCTCCTCCTGCTCCTCCTCCTCCTCCTCCTCCTCCTGCCCCCCCCCTCTTCAGATGTGCAGCGCTCCACAGGCAGGTAGTTTTGGGAAAACAATTCAAATTGTCGGAAACTAGTCCCAACACTAGTCCAACGAACTAGTCGAAATGGTTGAACGTGCGTTCAACTAGTCTCGCAAAGTAGTATGACAAGAACGCATGAAAATCTTGAATTTAGTAGTATGAAAAAAGAAGCAGGAGGAGGGGGGGCCCCTCCTCCTGCTCCTCCTCCTCCTGCTCATCCTCTCCTGCTCCCCTCCTCGTACAATCTAATATCTCCTCCTCCTCCTCCTCCATCCTCCTCCTCCTCCTCCTCTCCGTCCTCTCCTCCTCCTCCTCACCCTCCCGCCCCCAAGGTCCTTCTACTGCACGGGCGTGCTCCCAGGATAGGAGGAGCCCCGCGCCCTGGTGGCCGCCGCCGCAGCTGCAGGTGCCGTGTCGGTGGGTTCGTCGTCCGTTGCCTCGTTTGCGTCGTGCCGGTCGTCGTCGTGCGTCGTCGTCGTCGTCGTTCGGCGGTCTCGTCGTCGTCGTCGTTGTGGTTGTCGTTGTTTGGGTTTGTCGCTCGTCGCCGTTCGCAGCACGCAGGCCGTCGCCGGCGCCGTCGTCAGTCGTCGTCGGTTGTTCGGAGGAGGAGGAGGAGGAGGAGGAGGAGGAGGAGGAGGAAGCTGAGGAGGAAGAGGGGGAGAAGACCCGTGGGGGAGCCGAGAAGATGCGGCAGGGGAGAGGGAGGATCCCCCCTCCCTTCCCCCCCCCCCCTCCCGCCCCCTCCTCCTGCCCATCCTCGTCAGCCCCTTCCCCGCCCGCCACCCCCATCGCAAGCGGGCTCGGGCGGCCGCGCGCTCCGGCCCAGGACTACCACCAGCGGCGCAGCGCCCAGGGCGCGGCGAAGGCCGCTAGCGCCGCGCACCCCGCGCGGCAGCCCGCGGCCGCCGCGCCGACCAACGGCACCCCGCACGAGAAGGCCCCCAGCTGGCGCGCCGCCGCCGCAGAAGCAGGACGACGACGGCGGCGGCGACGGCAGCGACGGCGGCGACGACGGCGACGACGGCGACGGCGGCGGCGGCGGCGGCTCCGACGGCGGCGGCGGCGACGGCGACGACGACGATGATGATGATGACGACGATGACGCCGATGTCGACGATGATGACGAAGACGACGTCGACGACGACGGTGACGACGACGGTGATAAGGCTGATGATGATGATGATGATGATGATGATGATGATGATGATGGTGATGATGACGACCACGAGGAGGAGGAGGAGAAGGAGGAGGAGGACGAGGAGGAGGACGCGAAGGTCGAGGATGAGAGGGAAAAGGAGGAGGACGACCAGTGTAAACCCAAGTGCCATCAACGATGTTGGAATACACCCTTCCTCCAAGCTCCCTCTTTATCGGCCCCTACAACGGTTCATTTTCATTGAGGGAGCTTACTCGTTGGAAAACAACCGTTTGAAGATCCTGAAGCATCCGGAAACATTGTTCTCGGGATTCCAACGCCACGGATCAACCTGATTGTTGCGTCTTGACAATCCTGGATCGTGCCAGAACGCCATTCCTGGGATTCCGACACCGCGAACCAACGTACTTGTTGCCCTGCAAAATCCATAATCCTTCCAAAACACCATTTCTGGTACGATGATCATGTGGATCAGTGAAACTCTTGTACATCTTACAAGCGAATGTACGCGGCGCTAAGGCGAGAGCCACATTTTGAAAAGGAACCGCCCTCAATCCGTGAAGCTCTTGCACATTTTTAAACCGAATGTGCGCGGCGATAAGGCGAGAGTCACACTGTGAACACGACCAGCCCTCTATCTGTGAAACTGTTGCCAATTTTTCAGCTTCAGAGTCATAAGCGGTGAAGAGTTCTCAGGCGAAACGCCCGGCCCGCCCTAAACATTGGCTTCGGGGTGCGACAGGGATATGTTATTTATAATGAAAAGGAATGGTGGAGGAGGAGGAGGTGGAGAAGAAGGAGGAGGAGGAGGAAGAGAAGGAGGAGGAGGAAGAGGAGGAAGAGAAGGAGGATGATGAGGAGGAGCAAGAGTAACTAATAGAAGAAGGAGGAGGAGGCGGAGGAGGCGGAGGAGGAGGAGAGGAGGAGGAGGAAAAGCAACAGCAAAGGGAGGGAGGAGGAGAGGCGTTCCAGACCCTTCGTCGTTCTTCGCAGCTGCCCACCCCCCCTGCCTCTCTCTTCACGGCCGCCTCGCCTTCACCCCTGCTCCTCCGAAGCCCCCGCCTCCTGTATCCCCCCTCCTACCCGTCCTCCGCCTCCCCCCTCCCCTTCCTCCTCGCCGTGGGGAGCTCCGCGCGCGCGGCCTGGCGGGAAAGGCCCTGACAGCTGCCTTCGGGCCCTCTCGAAGGCTGCCTTCGGGCACGTCCTCCGCACCCCGGCAGCCTCCCGAGGGGCGCCCGAGGGGTGGCGACCTCTCGGGGGGCGGCCGCGGACCACATCGCCGCTCGAGGGCCGCCACCGCGACCTCTCCGGGGGCGCCGCCGCGACCTCTCGAAGGGCCCTCTCGAAGCTGCCGTGGGCACGTCACCCGCACCTCGGCAACCTCCCGAGGGGCGCCCGGCGGTGGCGACCTCTCGGGGGGCGGCCGCCGCGACCTCTCGAAGGGCCTTCTCGAAGCTGACGTGGGCACGTCCTCCGCACCTCGGCAGCCTCCCGAGGGGGGGCCTCGGCGGGCGGCGGGCCTCGGCCGGCGGCCGCCGTGCCGTGCTCGGGGTCGTCCTGGCCTTTGTCCCCGTCCTCCTCCCTCCTCCCTCCTCCTTCCTCCTCGTCCTCGTCCTCCTCCTCGTCCTCCTCCTCCTCCTCGTCCTCCTCCTCCTCCTCGTCCTCCTCCTCCTCGTCCTCCTCGTCCTCCTCCTCGTCCTTCTCGTCCTCCTCCTCCTCCTCCTCGCCGCTCGAGGGGCGCCGCCGCGGCTGCGGCGGGCGGCCCCGGCCCCGGCCCCGCCGCGGCGGCCCGATGAGAGCGGATGGCGTGCTGCGGCCTGGGCGCCGCCAGGGGCGGCCGGCTCGGCGCTCCCCGCCGTCGTCGTCGCCGTCGTCGGCGTCGTCGTCGTCGTCGTCGTCGTCGTCGTCGGCGTCGGCGTCGGCGTCGGCGTCGGCGTCGGCGTCGGCGTCGGCGTCGGCGTCGGTGTCGGCGTCGGGGTCGGCGTCGGCGTCGTCGGCGTCGGCGTCGTCGGCGGCGGCGTCGGCGTCGGCGTGTCTGGGGTCATCGTCGTCGTCGTCGTCGTCTCGGCAGTCGTACGTCGGCCGGTCGGCCTCGGGCGTCGGCGTTCCGGCGTCGGTCGGGCCCGTCGGCGCGCCGCCGCCGTCGTCGGTCATCGCCGTCGTCGTGTCGTCGTCTCATCGTCTCGCGTCGTCGTCGTCGTCGTGCGTCGGCGTCGGCAGTCGGCGTCGTCGGCCGGGTCGCCGTCGGAGGCGGCGTCGGGCGTCGCGTCGGCGTCGGGGTCGGCGTCGGAGTCGGCTCGTCGTCGGTCGTCGGCGTCGTTGTCGTCGTTCGTCGTATAGTTCCGTCGTCGTCGTCGTCGTCGGTAGTTCCGTCGGCGTCGCGTCGGCCGGTCGGCGTCGGCTGTCCGGCCGTCGGCCGGCGTCGGCCGACGGACGTCGGCGTTCCGCCTCCCGCCGCCGTCCGTCGTCCATCGCAGCGTCGCGTCGTCGTCGTAATCGTCGTCGTCGTCGTCGTCGCGTCGGCGTCGGGCGTCGTCGTCGTACGTCGGCGTCGGGCGTCGGCGATCGGCGTCGGCGTACGGCGTCGGCCGTCCGGCGTCGCGTCGCGTCGGCGTTCGTCGTCGTCGTCGTCGTCGTCGTCGTCGTCGTCGTCTCGGCGGTAGTCGTCCTTCGTCGGCGTCGTCGTCGGCCGTTCTCGTTTCGGGTCGGTCGGCGTTCGGCGTTGGCGTCGGCGTCGCGTCGTCGCGGCGTCTGCGCGCGTCGGCGGTCGGCGTCGTCGTCGGCAATCCTCGTCCAAGCGTCGTCGGTCCCGTCGACGTCGTTCGTCGCGGTCGCGTCGTTCGTCGCGGTCCGTCGTTGTCAGTGCCGCCATCGTCGTCGTCGTCGCCGTCGTCGCCGCGGTCGTCGTCGTCGTCGTCGTCGTCGTCGTCGTCGTCGTCGTCGTCGTCGTCGTCGTCGTCGTCGTCGTCGTCGCCGCTGCCGCCGCCGCCGCCGCCGCCGCCGCCGCCGCCGTCGTCGTGGTCGTCGTCGTCGTCGCGTTCGCGCCCCGCTGGTAACGACGCCCCCCCCCCTCGACTCCAAGGGGGTGCGGGATGCTTGCTTGCGCACACCTCGGTTCCCGTGGCCAGGCTCCCTCCCCCGGTGGGCCCCTGGGGGACCCCCGAAGGCCCGTGAAGGTCCCACGGAACCTGCTGGAGGCTTCTCGAGCGCCAGAAGCGCCCATCAGGGTAAAACAACATGTGGTCGAGGGAGGAGGAGGAGGAGGAGGAGGAGGAGGAGGAGGAGGAGGAGGAGGAGGAGGCAGGAGGAGGAGGAGGGAGGGGGAGGAGGGAGGAGGATGGAGATAAGAGAAGGAGGAGGAGGAGGAGGAGGAGGAGGAGGAGGAGGAGGAGGAGGAGGAGGAGGAGGGGGAGGAGGAGGAGGAGGAGGAGGAGGAGGAGGAGGAGGAGGAGGGAGGAGTGAGGAGGATGAGGAGGAGGAGGAGGAGAAGGAGGAGGAGGAGGAGGAGGAGGATGAAGAACATGAGGAGGATGATGAGGAGGAGGAGGAGGAGGAGGAGGAGGAGGAGGAGGACGGAGGAGGAGGAGGAGGAGGAGGAGGAGGAAAAGGAGGAGGAGGAGAAGAAGGAGGAGGAGCAGGAGGAGGAGGAAGAGGAGGAGGACGTAAAGGAGGAGGCGGATGAACAAGATGATGATGATGATGATGATGATGATGATGATGATGATGATGATGATGATGATGATGATGATGATGATGATGATGATGATGATGATGATGATGATGATGATGATGATGATGATGATGATGATGATGCTGATGATGATGATGATGATGATGATGATGATGCTGATGATGATTTTTCCCTCGACGTCAGGACCAATATCTGATATCAGAATATGGTATACACTGAAACCAGTCTTGAGAGATCCGTCGCAGAGAGCCGACTGTCTCGCGTTGCCCCGCTTGGGCCAGACTGCCAGGGTGCTGCTCGGAAGGGGCCTCCTGCGCAGCGCGTGCCTAGCAGCGTCGAAATGCTAGCTGAATAATACTGGCCGCTTCGTCTTCGGCAATTGAACTCAGGTGGGGTGGGGCCTCCACCTCACGCAGCTCCTCTGCATGTGCTGGCACGGCAGGGGGGGGGGGGTGGAGGCACGACGGAGGAGGGCGGGATGTGACCGTGACCGTGCTGCTACTGGCAGGGAGGCTTTAGCCTCGAACAAACATTGACACGGCGTGGACTCGCCTCCTCTGCGCTGTGGCCTGCGCTGTGGCGTGCAGCCTCGCTCTGGCAGAAAGACAGGCTCGCTCTGGCAAAAAACGGCGGGTTCACTGCTCGAGCGTCTCTAGCCAGTGGCCTACCTCCTCCTCGGGCCAGCCCACTGGGGCCACGCCTCGGTGGTGGACCGCCTGGCCCTCCCACATGGGCGCGCCGATCACCAGCTTCTGCTTGGCGTCGTCGTAGCGGTGCCCGAGCCCTTCGAGCCCTGGGAGGGGTCCAGTGGGAGTCGCCACGACGCTCTCCGCTTGGGCGTCGTCCCCCTGTCCAGGGAGAGTAGGCGTAGAGGAAACATTAGCCACTCGGATCGCCCGCGTGGGCGCTACATATACTGCTGCTGGGCGCTGTGCTGCTTGTAGCCGTCGAAGTGGTCGATGTCTAGGTCTGCTGCGTAGGTCGCTGCCCGCGATGTGTTCCACCGACTGGCAGTTGGACGCGCTTGCATCAGTGGTGTCCTCGATGGCGGGCGAGGGACGGCATCTGGATGGCGCAGGGCGCGGCGGGGGAGCACTTGGAGTGGCCGAGCGCGTGGTAGTCCGTTTCTGGCACGACCTGATGTTGCACTCGAAGGTGGGGTTTGTCTCGTCGTCGGTGTCCGTCCCGTCGTGCGTTGCCGCCGAGAGGAGGGAAGATGTGCTCACGCTGGCCTCGGGGGGAGCCCACTGATCCATCTTGACAACTCGGAGGGCCTCATGGTGTTTGCTAATCTCGGCGTAGGCGTCGTTGAGAGAAGACGCACGGTGGGCGCCCGTCTGGAGCCCAGCAGCAAGTAGGCCATAGTCCCAGCGGATGTTGTTGTTCGTGATGTTGGCGCCGCTGACAGGCATCTTGATCTGCATAATCATGGGGATGTGGTCGGCAGCATGTAGTAGGCTACTTAGCTTGGTGTGGATCTTCCAATTCAGCTTCACGTGCTTCACGATTTCCATGAAGTTGTCGTGGCCGATGAAGTAGTTGATGCTTGATCTGGCTTTGTTGTGCCCGTAGTGGGTATTGCCGACGTCGATGTGCATGTTGATGGCTGTCAGCTGGTGCGTCAGGAACTTGTCGTGGATCAAGCGTCCGAGCTCGGTCTCGTCGCTGGGTTGGTAGCTGCCGATTGCGTTGTCGGTGCGGCGCTGTCGTGATCGTCGTCCTGGCCCTTGGTTGAGGTCCGTGAACAGGATGGGCATGACGCGAATAGGGATGTCGGTATGTGCCTGCGGTACCCAGCTCCATGGTCGGCGGCATCCTGCTTTCCAGTGTTGGTAATGGCCTGCTCCGTTCGGCCGCGGTGGGGAATGCGCAGCAGTGAGTCGAGAGCGGAGCTGGCCTCGATGAAGCTCGACGGCGCCCGCGCCCCGTAGGTCAGATTGTGGGGGGTGCCGTACCTTGTCGATATCTATTTTGCGGCTTTGGCGCTTGGATACTGCGATGCTGCGACTTACTGAGCTGCTCGTGTGTGCCCCGCGACCCCATCCGAAATGGACCCATGTATGATAGCGGCGGTCCTCGAAATGATGCGGGGCGTCGGTAGTGCACTGGCGGATCTTAATGCCTGCGTACATCATAGTCTGATTTGCACGGCATGTGTCGGAGATGTGGTCGAGATGACCTGGGACATCCAGTAGTCCTTCGCGAGCTGGGTGTGGATGTAGTGGTCCAGGTGGCAAGTCACGTTCGGCGTGCAATTGTTCCACTGGTAGTAATTCAGGAGCCGCGTGGTGTGATCCTGCATGTGCTGGCCCTCTGTGTTCTGCCTCGATGTCCTCGGTCTCCGCTCGGTGCAGGTGGTTCCGAATGGCACCCTCCATGGAGCCGCCCACGTCACACTTGTACAGTCCTTCCAAGATCGCCAGCGCGAAGGGCGGCGCTGGCGACCCTATCTCCTGCAGGCGTTTCTTGTCCTCTGGGGTGTCGCTCTTCCTGAGGGGGGAGTCCAGGGTGTACTTGTAGCCTTCGATCTCCTGCGTGATGGCTATGATCCCTGGGAGCTCTTTCCTCATCGTGTAGGTGTCCGTATTGTTGCTGCCATTCAGCCTGGTCTTGTGCGTCGTCTGAAGCAGCATGTGGCAAGTCACGTTCAGCGTGCAATCGTTCCACTGGTGGCAATTCAGGGGCCGCGTGGTGTAGTTCTGCATGTGTTGGCCCTCTGTGTTCGTGAGGATGTTGAAATTGAAGCTCAGCGTCCAGTAGTTCGGGGTCAGCGTGTCGTAGTCCTGCCTGTGCTGGCCCTCTGTGTTCGTGAAGATGTTGAACTTGAAGCTCAGCGTCCAGTCCTGCACGTACTGGCCCTCTGTGTTCGTGAGGATGTTGAATTTGAAGTTCAGCGTCCAGTCGTTCAGGGTCAGCGTGTTGTAATCCTGCATGTGCTGGCCCTCTATGTTCGTGATGATGTTGGAGTTGATTTTCAGTGTCCAGTAGTCCTTCGCAATCTGGGTGGGGTAGTCCATGTGGCCAGTCACGTTCAGCGTGCAATTGTTCCACTTGTGGCAATTCATGGGCCGCGTGGTGTGCCTGTGCTGGCCCTCTGTGTTCGTGATGATGTTGAAGTTGAAGCTCAGCGTCCAGTAGTTCAGGGTCAGCGTAGCGAGTCCTGTGCTCAGCAGGTGCGCGGCGCCCGCGCTCCGGAGCACGGCCATGGCGGCCTGGCGGTGTGCGGGGTGTCGTCAAGCGGCCCCCTGCCTTTTGGGCATGGCAAGGGGGCGGTGACTGGAGGCCGCTGCTCCATCAATGGCCTGAGCGCGCGGCGGCCTTGATGATGATGATGATGATGATGATGATGATGATGATGATGATGATGATATGATGATGATGTTGATGATGATTATGATGATGATGCTGATGATGACGATTAGTGATGACGGTAATGCTGATGATGATTATGAGTAAGATGATGATGTTGTTGTTGATGATGGTGAGGATGATGATAAGACTGATGGTGATGATGGTGATGATGGTGATGATGGTGATGATGATGATGATGATGATGATGATGATGATGATGATGATGATGATGATGATGCCATGCTCTTGGTTCCTGGCAACGGTCCGCTGCCAGGCGTACGAGAGCTGAAAAGGTGATGCCATCATTGTCTCTACGTGCTCGCGCGGCCGCCGCGCTCTCGTGCCCCGTCCTCGGCCCTGGCTGGGTCCTATTTTTACTAACCTTCTTTCTCGTGGGCAAGGTGCGGAGTCACTGGGACCTGAAGCGTCAGTTGCCAATCCTCTCCTGCTCCCCCTTTTCGTAGGAGGCTGCGGCGCTCTGATCAGCGTGCGCGAGAGATGCACGCAGTGGCACTAGGCAGGCTTCGATTCGCTCAGCTCTGGACGTCCTGCCGGTGCGCCTTCTGCACGAGTCGGTGCAGGTTTTCTGGGCGTCCAACACTTCTCTTGCCTCCCGCCGCAGCGTAGAAATCTGCCGGGGTGGTCTTCCTCGAGGACTCGCTCTCGGCGTCAGTGCGTGCTCCCCTGGCGCTCCTCCGAGCGCCCGTGCACGACCTCCGAAGTCCCGCACGCGCACGTGCTGTGCGCGCGCCAGCGAGCAGCGCTCACTAAGAGCCCGTGGCCCTCCCAAAACAATCCCGAGGCCCGCCCCCCCCCCCCCCTCCGAGCCTCGCCCCGAAGGCGGCCAGGCTTGGGATCCAGGCGCCTCCCGTGGGTGTCAGTCCACGGGCCCATCCCCGGTCAGCTGCAATGCTGGGGTGAGCGCGTGTGAGAAGGGCGATCAGTGGCAGCGGGCCTTGGCGCTCCTCTGCGAGATGCGGGAAGCGAGGCTGGAGCCCGACGTCATCTGTGAGCTTCGATTCGGGTCGAAGCGCGAGCGAGAGGGACGGCCCCGTGACGCCGTCCACTGGCCGCCCAGAGCCTGCCAGGAGCCCTCCAGAAGCCACGCGAGCCGCTCACCCGAGCCGTGCAGGAGGCTCCGAGAGCTGGCCAGAGGCGACCCAGAGACGCCCCAAGATGACGCCAGCTTTGCTTCATGACGCCCCCAGGCCGTCGGCGGAGAGCTTCAGGGAGGCCAAAATCGTCCAAGCCTTCTTGCGGGCTTGTGAAATTGTTACAATTTCTCATCCTTCCGCTCCAGATGGCAGCAAGCAGAACCCTCGAGGTTGCTTGGAAAACCTCAGAGGCCCATCAGATCCTCTTGGAGAGGCCAAGGCGCGCCCAAGATGACCCCAAGACGGCCCACGAGAGACTCAATACGGCCCCAGAGGCTCCCAATGTAGCTCAGGATGTGTTCAAGGCGGGCCCAAGAAGGGGAAACCTATGGGCCCCTGGAACCCTCCCCCGAAGACGGCCGCCAGGGCCCCGAATCTGCCCCCAGGAAACCCTCCAGACGGCCCTGATGCTCCCACACATGCCCACAACACACAAAGACGGGCCCAAGAATTGAAGTCGTCGGGGCCACGGGAGGTGGCCGCCTGGTCATGCTGCGTTTCGGCAGCAACGTTGATGGTCGCCCCCCAGAATTCTACACGGTTGGCACTAGTCCCATGAAGCGTTATGCCGTGTCGGTTGCGCTTGCTGTTGACAGATAGCGGGTGTTTGCCAGATTTTTTTTTTTGTTGTTTTTTTTTTTGTAGTTTTTTGCTTTCCTGGGCCACGGCGTTTGCGAACCGCTCGCGCCCGAGTGGAGTTGCTTGCGGCGCCTCCTCCTCCCCCCTCCTCCTCCTCCTCATCCTCCTCCCCCTCCTCCCCCTTTTATTCCCTGCTTTTTTCTTTTTTTTTCCTTTTGATTTACCGATTCGAAGCTGACTTATCCTCTCCTTGTTTTTGTCTTTTTCATTTTTTTCTTTTTTCTTTTATATGTGTTTTTTTTTTTTCTTTTTTCTTTTTTTTTTTTTTTCTTTTCGTCTCTTTTTTTCTTTTTTTTCTTCTTTTTTCTCTTTTTTCTTTCTTTCTTCTTTTGTTTCTGGCTTATCTTTTCTTCGTTTTCTTTTTTGCTTCTCTTTTCTCTTGTCGTAACTATTCTCTCGTCCTCCTATCGGTGCCTCCTCCTCCTCCCACCCCCACCACTATCTTTATCATTCTCTCTCCTACTCTTTCCCATTTCTTTCTTCCCTTTCTTTTCTTCTTTCCGTTTTTTTCTTTCCTCTTTTTTGTCCTTTTTTTTTTGCGTTTCGTTTTTCTCTTTTTCTTTCATGTGGAGCTGACTCTTCCTCCTGCTCCTCCTCCTTCTCCTTCTCCTCCTCCTCCTCCTCCTCCTCCTCCTCCTCCTCCTCCTCCTCAAGCAACTGGGGCCCAAATTTTCTGGGCCTGCCTCTGTGCCGTCCCGTGGCGCTTGAGGTGTCGTCTCCCCTCGGGAGACGACTGAATCAGAGGCAATCACTCACAGCCCTCGGCGCCCGCCATGGCGTCTCTCTCTCGTCGTGCTGGCTGGGCTGTTGGCACTCCGCCATGGCGCGACGGGGGCTCTGATGGCTACTGGAAGTGCGGGCACTGCGGCTGCGGCAAGAACCTCGGTCACTATTGGTTTTGCAAGCAGTGCTACGGCAAGCAGAAGGAGGTCGAAGCCGCCAGCCCGCCTCAGCCCCGTGGAGCCTGGGCGGGAGACTGGCAGCGCACGCCTTGGCAGGAGAAGCCGTCCATGGAAGGCCTCCCTGTCGACCTCCAGGGCAGCGGGGCCCCTCCGCCTGTCGCAGGTGATCAGGGCAAGTTCTCCGACGACAAGCTGGTGCAGCTCATCAGCCTCCATCGGAAGATGGGCAACGAGGCATCTGCAGCGGCCCTGCTGCTCAGGCTGGAGAAGCGACGTGCTGGTGACCCCCTGTCACCCTGCAGGCCCAGGCCAACCAGGTGGATCGTCATATCAAGCAGCTGGAGAAGAAGCTTCAGCATGATTTGGAACAGTATACGAAGTGGTCTAACTGGCGCGCCGACAAGAAGGAGTCCGTTGGTGCGGTGCGTCGCGAGCTGGCGGGCGAGACGCAGAAGCACCAGGGTATGGTTGATCAGCTTCGAGCCCAAGTTTGCCCAGCTCCTGCCACGCCACAGAAGCGTTGCATTGCCCTCCAGGACCTCCTGGATGAGTCCAGCGACTTCCTGGACATGGGCAGCGTTGAGGAGGTCTTCGGGGTGGACGGCTCGGTCTACGAGGTTCAGGGGTCTGACGCCCAGGAGTTCGAGAAGAGGACCACGCAACTCAAGGAGTCGATTCAGAAGGCCGCTCGCCAGCTCTCCGGCGAGGCCCAGCGGCACTTCAAGTAACTCAAGGAGCATCGCGCCAAGCACATCCAGATAATATGGAAGAAGCCCAAGGTGGGCGTTTCAGGTGAAGCTGCCGCGGCGCCACCTGAAGGTTCTGGGGGGCCCAAGGGCGAGGCCCAAGATCATGCTGGAGACGGAGGTGGAGATTCTTCGAACGGGGCGGCGGCGTCACCTTCGGGGGCTGGGCCATCGTCGGCGGCGCAGGTGCTCGCCAGCGCGGACAAGCTCATCGGGCCCTTGTCGCCCCCCCCCCCCCTGCCAGCGCGTGGCCGACAGGGGGGACTTCGTGAACGCGTTCACTCGCGCGGCAGCATGGCCGCTGCTCCACCATCCGGGTCGACTGGGCCCTCCTGGTCATCGACGGCGGCTTCAGGTTCATTCTGCGAGGGCCAGCGCGGCGCGCGCTCGCCCAGCCATGGGGCCCCTGTCATGTCTGTTCGATCGGCTCTTGAGAGAGCCAAGAAGTTGCTTAGGCTGCCCACCGAGGGCGGCATGCCTTCGGACCCTTCCAAGTTTTTGTCAGCGCCCCCCTGCCCTGGTTGACCGCTTCAGCTGTCGATCAAAACGGTGAGTTGCACGAGTTGGTCTCCCATCGAGTCTCGGCTTGCAACCGCGACTTCCCACGTCGCACTCGTGCAAGAACACCGCCTCGCATCGAAAGACGACGTCGCCAAGGCAGGGCAATTGGCTCTAAAGAGGGGATGGAAGACTCGGCTCAATTCTGCGACCCGCACTTCGGCGGGATGCCCCCCGGGAGGTGTCGCGATTTTGGTTTGCTCTTTCCTGGGGTTCCACGATCCCGAGTTCGGTCAGATCATCGCCCCGCCCAGGGCCACGAGTGCAATTGTTTCAGGTTCCAGGGGCTCCGTCGATCCTGGTCTCGTCGGTCTACCTTCGATAGCGAGGACCTCACTGACAGGAATCTCGATTTGTTGGCGGCCGTGTCGGCCAGGCATTGTTCGTTTGAAGGTCCGAACCTGATCGGAGGCGACGTTGGCGCGGCGCCTGGTGCGTTGGTTACCTCTGGGGTTCCTGGATAGCTAAAGTAGTCTAACGTTATCTATCCTGACATCGGCACATGTACCAGTACTGGGGGCTTGCGGGTTCTCGACTACTTTGCGCTATCATCAGGCTTCAGTCGGTGCATCCAGGGGGGCGTCAGCAGTCTTAGGCAGCGACGTCAAGGCGCACGCGCCCGCGCGCATTCTCTTATACCCGCAGTTGACTGTGCTCAAGGCCAGCACTTTCCTCCGCCCGCCTAAACTGCCGTCCGAGCGCCCCATCGGGCCAGCGCCGCGTTCGGAGGGCAACGCCACTGTTCTGGATTGCGCCCGAGCGGGTCGAGAGTTGATCGAGCGTCGAGCTTCGAGGCCCCAGGTCCAGAGGCATCTTGACGTGCTATATCGAGTTTGGGCCGATGCTGCCGAGTGGGATCTTTCCAGAATTTTGCAGACCGATCTGGTGATATGGGGGCCCCGCGGTTGGAGGCCTCGATTGGCTTGGGTTTCTGCCTTGGGCGAAGACACTCGCCCTCCTGTTCGGAATCCTGGCCTGGCATCCGGGCGTTGGTTGTCGAGGACCTCGAGGTTTATCTTGGGGGCGGTGGATTCAGGAGACGCCGTGGCCTTCGCGCGATTTCGGATTCATTTCCTGGATCCCCCGGCGCACGTTCGTCGGTCTTGGGGTGGATTTCGAGATCTTTTTTCAGCAAGGATGTGGGCTCCGTGAGGTTTTTCAAGATGCTTCCCAAGACGCGTCGGGCTTCCGAGAGTTTCAAGCTCTCTTAGAACCCAGAGTAGCAGAGTATGCAACATCTTCTTCACAGCGGTCTTTGAAGGAGTGGCGCAGCTGGCCTCTGGATGGAGTGGACAGAGGGGGTAAAAACGCCCACCGTTGGACCCGCCAGTTGAAACCTTGGGTGGCGACCACCGCGTTATCGGCCGATGGGCTTGTTTTGTCGGACCCTGCGTCCCTCCTGCAGTCGGAGGGGGCACAGGTCGGGGCCCTCTGGGATTCCAAGCCGTACCCGCATGTTGACGAGTCTGGACTCTTGGGTTTCATGGAGCCGCCGGAGCCGCTCTCTGCAGAGGATTTGATTGCTGTGGGCAAGACTTACGGCCACCAGTGTTGGCGGGTTTCGCATGCGGCACTATTGTTTTGAGCATGCCGACTTGTTGGATGCCGTCAGCATTTTATTTGTGATGATGGAAGCCACGGGCCTCCCACCGCGCCCTGCCCAGGCGCTGGTGACCGCGCTGCTGCAGAAACCAGCGGGCGGGCACCGCCCCATTGGGCTTTTCTCCACTCTACACAGGCGGCGGGCGCGCGCCCGACGGCCTTACGCAAAGCGTTGGGAAGCCGAACAGCAGATATTGCACCTAGCATCTGGTTCGTTCAACTCTGCCCGCGCCCTCGCGCAACGTATTATTGATCAGCTTGGGGGGCGAGGTAGTGAGGGAGTAGGGCGCACCTAATTCGCTCACCAACTGCGCGTAGTTGGGCATGATCCAACCTACGCGGCTGAGAGACAAATACATGGCGCCGATCGGCCCCCGTACTTGCCGCCACGTAGACGGCGGTCTGGACCATGTCTGCTGCCAGGCGTCTCTAAGAACGGCGAAACCTAAAGCGAATGGAGTCTGCTGAGCCCGGGCGTCCCGCAGCTCCCTGGAGTATCTGGCAATGGGCGAGATGGCAGCGTGATGAACAGGGTCTACCTTCAGGATGCAGAGCGACGTAAGAGACCTGGATCCCGCGGACGGTTTGACAGATTCTCCGAACCCAGCTCGAAGCAGACCCAATTCATAATCATATACACCATATACTTCGGAGCCGTAGCTCACCGATGCCAGCGGCCCTGAAACAAAAATCTCGCGGGTCTGACGGCCGAGAGCTTGACGAGCTTTGCGAGCGCGCTTGCACCGAATCCGAAAATGTTGCATTCTGCTCATAGCCTTCTTACCTCGACCTCCAATACGACGAGCCTGTCCAGCGCCGTCGTCGACTCCGAGGTTGACTGAGGTCCTCGCGTCAGCGGAAGGGCCGCCGCACTGCCCGAGGAACGTCTTGATGGCCTGACCAACATCAGCATGAGACGAAACAGCCGCAGCCTTGTCGGTAGAGACAATGGCCCCCACGTCAGTCTCCAGAGCCACCAAGAGGTCCACCGAGGCCTTCTTAAGCGAGGGAACCACCGATTCAGACGTCCCAGAGCTCGAAAGCCCGCTGTCATCAATGTAGATGTCCAGGGAGACCTGCTGGGGGAACCTGATGGGGTCCACAGTAGGAATAACGCAAACACGCACATAGGAAGTAGCCATACTGCATCCAGCTACAACCCCGCGCGCGACGAAATGAGGCCCGCGCAGGAGGCCCAATTGTGAAACAAATCGAGCTCCTCGATAAGACCTAACCGATATCCTGGCACTCTGCATCGGGAAATTCAAGGCCTGGCACCGATCTAGCAGCTTGGGAAGCCGAATCGTCTCGTAAAACTTGTATAAGTCCCATAGGATGTGCCGCCTGTCGGGCGAGAAGCTCGGGCTCGGCGCCAGGCTGTGTTCTGATTCTGTGATCCGCGACCTCAGCAGCTCTAAGTTTACGCCGCTTGAGAAGGGTTCGATGAGGGCCAATGTGCGCGGGGCCTGCTGGACCAAAGAGAGAGCCGTTCAGTGCGGTGACCAACTCCAGGACACGTGTTGTGCTTTGTGCCGGGGGCCCTCGGACTCCGCATTTCATCGGCTTTGGGTTTGTCCTGAACCAGGGGCCGCGGAGCTCAGACAGGAGATTGTAGACAGGTCTGCATTGCAGGCCGCTCAGGAGCTGGACCCCGCTTCGTATTCCATGGAGGATTGGCTTCTCTTCACCAGTGGCCTCTTCCCCCACCCAGGTGATGACCGCCCTCGCCCCGTTCTGGAGGTCGCCCCCGCGATCGTCTGGGAGGGTGACCCTGAGCACCCCGACGAGCAGCTGTTCTCTGGAGGTTCGGCATCCATGGATGGGTCTTGTGAGAAGCATGTAGTTAAGGAATTAAGCAGGGCAGGTTGGGTCTTAGCGGTTTAGGACTCTCAGCAGGTTTTGAAGTCTCGTATGTGGCCTCCCCTTTGGGATCGTTTCCCCCTGGCCCCACAGGCGGCGGAATTCGGGGCTCTAGCCTACGCGCGCGTCTGCCTCGCGGACCCTGCTGTAGGGTTCTCGGTTTGTCCCAATGTTTGTAGGGCCGTCAAGTTCGACCGTTCTAAGAAGCTGTCGTGCAAAAGGCCTTGCGCGGGCCTCATGATTAATGCTCTGGGGCCCTGTTTTTTTTTCTGACGTGTTGAAGGTCAAGGCCCACGTGGCCGACTCGGAGGGCTTTTCCCCCGAAGAGCGTTTCTTTCAAACTGGCAATGGCGAGGCTGATCGCGCAGCCAAGCTTGGGGCCGCGGCGCGCCCCAAGCTTTCTCCTTCTCAAGCTGACAAACTGCAGTGGCAGCTTAAGGTCTCCCGAATGGTCTCGCGTCTGGCCGCCAAAGTGCTCGTTTCTTGGCCGCGCCTGGACCTGTCTGATGTTCCCTTCATTGCACCTCCCCGCCCCCCCCCGCCCTGGGGCCGAGGCGCCCGAAGGGGTGCACATTTGGGTGTGGGTCAAAACGTTTTGGAGGTGCAATCGATGTCTCAGATTTCGACGGCAGGCAGCGCACCCCGCGGAAGAGGGCTGCGCTGGTGACTTGCCCCCAGTTGCTCGTTCTGTTGTTGATCGTGGCCACTCCTGCCTCGCATTGGAGTGTGCGGGCGATCGGATTTTCATCATATGCACCCGTTGCAAAGCGTTTTCGGCCCTCGGACAATTCAAGCAGCTCCGCAATGAGTGCACACGTCCACTCGCCAAAGCGGCGGAGTATTGGTCAAGGGTCAAGCGGGGCTGGCATCCGAAGGAAAAACTTCGGGTGGAAGAGGTCCCCATCAGAGAGTGAAACAGGTGGGGCAGGGCGTTCGTCAAA